AATAACTAAGACCTTGAATAGCCAAAATGGCTTCTGAATTAGGTAAATTCGCAGAATTTTGTGGCTTAAATGGCTGGATTTGTCTTGAAATATCTAAAAATCTAATAAAATTATTACTCCCTCCGTCCCACTTTAAGTTTCCCACACGATTTACGATGTTTGACCGGCCATAAAGTGAACTGATCCTTGTAATTAATAAAATTATTTTTAGTAAATAAAATTTACATATTCAGAAACTACATTAAAACTGCTACAAAACCTGCAAAAAATAATTTAAGTTTCATAAACTTTTGATATATAAAGTAAAAGATTAAGAACAATGCACGTTGACCGGAGAATAGTGTACGGGAACCTTTAAATGGGACGGAGGGAGTATTATTTTTTTATTTATCAAATCATGCTATTGTTTTCTATAGTTAAGCTTTTTCTGTTTTTTTGTAGTTTTCTTCCTTTTGTTATAGCAAACACATGTTATTGTTTGGTAAGCAAGAAAGAGGGGGTGATGTGTGATTAGCTTATCTTTGATTTGGTTTAATACGAAAACAGACCATCAAATGCAGCATACAAAGAAGTGTCATGGTTGAACACTTGAATAAGAAAACAGCCATACTGAACAAACAAATCAAAACTGGATCAACCATATCTGAAACGGACCAAAGTTGACCAGTTAATAGGTTGGTTGGTTTATGGTTTATAGATTTTACTTCAAAAAACAACCAAATCCACAAAACATGCCAAAAACGAACAGTGGCTGAAATGATGGAATTGAAACCTACCAAAACTGACATATGTTGCTCAATTCTCTACTTGGATTACAAATTATAAAAACCGAACTTATCACATTGAAACTGACCGTATTAAACCGATGAACACCTCTTAGCTAATATAATACTACCTTTAATTGTACTATAATTGCAGGCATATCTTTGGTTCAAGTCGGTTGAAGTTGCTAACAAGGAGTCAGATGAGCTAGACAAGAGGGATGGGTATCTTTAGCTTCTTATACTCCATTGCCTCTGATAAAGGCTCCTCTTACTTTTTTTGGAATGGCGAAAAACAAGGTTCCAAAAAGTAAGAATTGTGTGGTTCATATTGTTTCTTTTCTTTGTATCCCTGTATAACTCTCATTCTATGAACTACGGAAACTCTTAGAACTCCCCAAACACTCTTCTTTTATTAAAAGATGATGTTGCTCGTTTCACGTTTCTCCATGAATCTCACGTTTCCATGCAACATAGATCTCACTCGTACGGTTCGACGGTTCTCATTGAATGTGTATAAGTTAAAGTGACAACTTCTAAAAAGGAATGGAGTAAATGACAAAATGTAACTCATCTTATAAGGTGGATGTGGCTAATATATCATCCCTCATTTCCTCCTAATCTGAAACGCTTAGAGCCGTCAAAACGGGCCGAAACCCGCGGGTTGGCCCGTTTCAACCCACTTATAAGTGGGTTAGGGCTATCATTTTCAGGCCCGATTGTTTTGCGGGCTCAGTGGGTCAACCCTAACGGGTTGCGGGTTTAGCGGGCCAACCCGTACGGGTTGCGGGCCAACCCGCGGGCTGAGGACAAATATCATTTATTCTATGTATTTTTAATTCTATTATGAGAAAATAACTTGAAATAATACCAACTATCTTCGATGAACCAATAATAATATATACTTTAGAAATAACTTTTAATAATACCAACTATCTGGATGTTAACCAAAAATAAAATAGAGACACTTTTCTACAAGAAATTCAATCATTTAAGACGTCAAAAACGAAGATCAAATCATCAAATAATTGATATTTGAAAATATGATCACTTATTTGATATTTTGATATTAGTTTTTGATGAATTGAATAAATAAAATTTTGGTGAAAATTTGCTATATATCACTTTTGATAGATAATCAAATAGTTGGTATTATTAAAAATTATTTCTCAAGTTGGTATTATTCATGGTTCATGGAAGATAATTGGTATTATTTAAAGTTATTTTCCTTTCTATTATTTCTATATAGGACAATTATATCTTCTATTAAACTCTCTTTACTTCTAGTTCTTTCCTCACTTTTAATACTAATGTATTTTGTTCATGATATCCAAATCAGACTAAATAGTTTATTTTTAATATATTCGTTGTTATACTGTTTTATAACATAAAGACTTCTATGCTGTTTTATTCATGATATCCAAATCAGACCAAATTAATGAGAAATTAGGTATTTGCGGTATTTCAGCTTAAGTATACCCACGATAATACATTAAAGCTTTTAAGTATTTCATCATTTAACTTTTTAAGTATACCAATTATACCCACGATGATACATTCAAACATACCACCAAAGGATTTTCAAGCACTAATTTTTTCCTTTTTAATTGTGTTTGGATTTTAATTTAGATATTTAATTGCTATTTCAATTGTGTTTGGATTTTAATTTAGATATTTAATTGTTTTTTTGTTTTGACATTTATGGCCCGCGGGCTGGCCATAAATGACACATGTCAATGTGACTCTCGGGGGGGAGGGGTAATTGTATCAATGGATCATGTATAATTAATATATATATTAATTATACATTGTATAAATTCAAGAGTGTGATGGGTTCAATAATAAATATATATAAGTATATATTTATGTATAACTGCAATACGTGTAATCTTTGGAAACAGTTTATCTCCACTACGTGTGAAATAAATCGGCAAAACAGAAAAATTAGTTCAATTTAGATGAGTCAGCATGTTTAACATGCTTTCGGAAATTCGAAAGTGGGTTTAAAAGTGTTGGTTCCATGTCACCATAACAAGGCATACGAAAGAGTGTATATGAGATCAGAAAAGCTATCACACTTTTGAAACTCAATATGTGGCGAATTTTCACTTCGTTAACAGAGAGCGTTGGAGATGCTCTTAGAGATGCTCTTAACCTAACATTAGGAAGGAGATTAAAGGTCAATTCATATAAAGTGGTTTAATTTAAAAATTGATTTGACTTTTTAAATAATAATCTGATTTTAACAAAAATCATATCAAATTTTATAATTTTTTTATCTTTCATATTACACCAATATGTCATATATAATTTTGTTTCAAAAAAATTAGTATAATATCTATACAATAAATCACCAGAAACATCTTTGGCTACCGCATGCACATCAATGTGTATCTAACACACAACAACTAATATCAAACGCACAACAACCAATATATAACACACAATATGTATCAGAAAAACTAAAACAAGTATCTTAAGCACAAAATTGAATATATAATGCACAAAGAACAATATCTAATGCACAACAATTAAAAACTAATTAGTATCTAATGTATAAGGATTTTACACAACTTAAACTAATATATAACACACAATAATCAATATCTTATGCACAATACCAATATACACTCGAGAACCAGTAACTAACGTATATTATATAGAGTAATCTTCCGGTTAGGAATTTCCTGACTGGAGCGTCATCCGGCCTCCTACTTTTGGGGAGGTTCCCGGTGGTATTTTTGCTCACATTTTTTGTGTATGTTCTTCATCACGTCTAGTTCATCCATACCAAATTTGAGCAAAAAAATTCAATCGGGAAGGCCGTCAAATGATTTTTGAAAGTTAACTGGTCCGGAATATACATATAAAACGCAGTTATCTTTCAAAAATCATTTGATGGCCTTCCCGATTGAATTTTTTTCTCAAAATTGGTATGGATGAACTAGACTTGATGAGTAACATATACAAAAAATTTGAGAAAAAAATACCACCAGGAACCTCCCCAAAAGGAGGAGGCCGGACGGGTGTCCGGTCAAGAAATTCCGGACAGGAATTTTCCTCTATTATATATACAATCACGGTAAGTATTTACCGCACAAGAATCAGTATTTCACAAACAACAACCTATATTTACCCCACATGAACCGACCATCTTACTATCAACTATGATATAACACACTACAATTGGTATTTGATGCAAATTAAATGAATAGAAAATAAATTATAATTTAATGGAGAAATTTAAAAATAAAAAAGAATACTTTGTTTCTAAGCATGGACAACTAAATTCACGTAAGGAATGAAATTAAAAATTAATATAATATGCACCTTATTATATTACCTTCCTAAAAATGTGGAACGTGGAACATCTATGGAATGCATTAATTGCAGCAACGGTTGACCAATAAAGAATAATACGAAAATGCCCTCTAGGGCCATTTAATCCATAGCATAGCAACATGTATTATGGAGGGTGGGGATTTGTTCTCACTTCTCACATTAAGGGATGTTCTCATTTGAACCAATATGTGTGTGTGTGTGTATAGAGAGAGAGAGTAGTGTTCCTGTCAGGACCTCCAAAAACGGACCTCCGTACGGACCTCGGCATTTGGGCTCCTTCCCGGTGGAATTTTTTGATGAAAATGTTTGAGCATGTTCTTCATCAAGTCTAGTTTACCCATACCAAATGTCAGCTAAAAATCCATCAGGAAGGCAGTCAAATGATTTTTTGAAGTTAACTGCGCACTTTATATACATATAAAATGCAGTAAACTAGACTTGCTGAAGAACATGCTCAAAAAATTTCATCAAAATATTCCACCGGGAAGGGGCCCAAACGCCGAGGTCCGTACGGAGGTCCGTTTTTGGAGGTCCTGACATGAACTTTCCTCTCTCTCTCTCTCTCTCTCTCTCTCTCTCTCTATATATATATATATATATATATATATATATATATATATATATATATATGTATGTATGTATGTATGTATGTATGTATGTATGTATGTATGTGTGTGTGTGTGTGTGTGTGTGTGTGTGTGTGTGTGTGTGTATGTATGTATGTATGTATGTATGTATGTATGTATGTATGTATGTATGTATGTATGTATGTATGTATGTATGTATGTATTCCCGTACTGGAACTGCCTCATCTCCTACATTCCAGCACGGGGAAATGGAGATGAGGCATGCGAGAGGTACAGAGATGTAGGAGATGAGGCAGTTGCTTTGTTCAAAGCCCCTTACAGTTTTCGGAGCTCGGCACTTCCAGGATTAGAGACCGGTGTCCGGAGTATATCCGAGCTTAGCTGTGGAACAAGGAGGGTTGCAATTGGCTGGCATGATATGCAGACTACCTGTGATGAGGCGAAGAAAGTCGAGCAATGATGATCTTGGAGTTGTTCTCTGTGATTGATTTTTCGCTTGAGTTTGTATGTATGCATCATTTTTATTCTTTCAATTTACTTAGTCATTTTTCATTCAAGAATACTTGGAGAACTAATCGGGGATCTAGCTCCCCACTTAGGTCGTGAGAGGCGGAAGGTTGGCAAGGCCGACCTTGACTGCTCCCTGTTTGGTAAGGCGGGACTGACCCGCACACTATCGATCTAGGAACGATGAGTGTGCAAGTTGTTCGGCTAACGGTCAGACAACGGATGTACGAGAGGGGCTCAGGGCGCGACCTCTCGCATACCTTCGGCCCGGAGGCCGGTCTTACACCTTGACGTGTACAGCTAGTTTCATACTTACGAAAAATCTGGTTATCCCTTTTCTGAAAGTCAAACTGAAGTCGGCCAAACATAAAGGCGAGGCCCTGCATGATCAGACCAGAACGGACCCGCACCACTGACCATATCAAACGAGTGTGCGGGATGCACGAGAGGGGATCAGAGCATGACCTCTCGCATACCTTCTGCCTGAAGACCGGTCATATAGTCGTCGCACCATTGATTGGATCAAATGAGTATACGAGTTGTTTAGACAACAACATCGGACAACATATGTACGAGAGGGCCTCGGGGCACGACCTCTCGCATAGCTTTTCGACCCGGGGGCCGATCTTACGGTCGCCCTCACCGAGCATCAAATCCGAGACTTAGAAAATACTTTGAAAATTTCCTTGTCCGAGGATCGAGCCGCGGTCGACTAAACACCGAGAGCGGGGCGTTGTAGTGTTTTTTTGTTGTTTTTTTACCGCCGCCCGTTCATTTCCAAGTGAGGTCGGACCTAAACTTTTTTTAAGTAATGAAAGAATTTGAGAACTTGATGAATTGCTCCGAGTTCTGCACTTCGTGCTTGATCACAATCTTGGTATGCTCCGCTCATAGGATTTGACAAGGTGCCCTGCACTCCGTACTTGATCACAAGCTTGCCTGTCGTGGTCTTCAACGCATAACATCAATCAGGAGCCATGCACTCCGTACTTGATCACAAGCTTGCCCTGCACTCCGTACTTGACCATTTGTCCCGGTCTCTTGAGGTTGACCTGGATAACTGTGCTTCAGGGTCTTCATGTAACAACTCTGCGTTGCCAGGTATGTACCCCCTCGCCAACGATGCTTCCACCCTGCACCTGGAGCAAGGTGGAGATGGACTTTAGAGATGATGACCCGCGTAGGGGGGTCCATCCACTTCGCTGGATTGAGCTTGTGCAACCAAGTCTCCAGGCAATGACTGTGTTCCTGTCTCGGTGGATTGGGCCTGTGCAACCAAGCCTCATGGTGGTGACCTAACGCTCACGTCGTCGGGTTGAGCTTGTGCAACCAAGCCCTCTGGTGACGACCGTGTGGCCGTCTCGCCATGGCGGGCTCGTGCAACCAAGCCTCCGGACCCTGACCTCATGTTCACCTCGCCAGGTTGAGCTCGTGCAAGGGTACCAGATCTGCCAGCTGTTGCTGCGCGTGTTCATTGTGGACGAAAACTCCCCCATAACGTGATGTCTTGTCATCTTCCTCTTTAACTGATCATGCTCATGGCGTACGGGTGCACGGCGTATGGGCTCTCTGACGGGAAAAAGTACAATCGTGGTCTCTCATGCACGTCAGTGAGTCGCAGCCGACCACCTGGGTCGTCAGAAGGTCTGTGGCATCTTCCTCCTCAATTGATCATGTTTGGCTACCCAGGCCCGTACAACGAAGCCTCTTGGCGGTGGCCGAATGCTCACGTCACAGGGTTGGGCTTGTACGACCACGCATCCTGGTGACAACCGTGCGGCCGTCTCGCAATGGCGGGCTCGTGCAACCAAACCTTCGGGCTGTGACACTGCGTCCACCACGCCAAGTGGGGCTCGAGCGGATGATACGAGACCCGCCAATTGTCGCTTGGACTATGTTAGGCGCGTAGGGGTGCACGAGCGCAAAGCATACGGGCGTACACGGTGACAACTACAACGTGCACAATCCTCACTCGATGTTACACGACTGTGACTTGCTGGCTCCGATAAGTATCTTCAGTCTGAATGCAATGCTTGGTCAAAAAGGATTGAATCGGAGTTCAGCTATCTTTGACTTGGTCCTCTAGTGATGTGCAGGGCGTATGAGCGTACGAGCGTACGGGCGCATGGGCGTACGGACGCAAGGGCGTACAGGCGCACGGGCGCACGGGCGTACGGGCGCACTGGCGTACGGGCGTACGGGCGGCGAGGGCTATTTACATCCATTGGATCCTCAATCAGCGGCGGGGGCTCTCTCTCCAACAGCGTTGAGGGCTCACCCTCCGTCAACGGTGAGGGCTCACACTCCGTCATCGGCGAGGGCTCACTCTCCGTCAGCGGCGGGGGCTCACTCTCCGTCAGCGGCGAGGGCTCACTCTCCATCAGCGGCGACGATCCAACACCGTAGATCGTGGATCGCTTCGGATAGGGGCAGAGCATGCGGGTGCACAACGTGCAAGTGATAGCTCCAAACATGCACAATTCGACGGCGATTTCCAATTGCAAAATAAGTAGTATATCAGCAAGCCAAATTTGAAAAAGGTCTCTTCAATTCATCCCAAATAAGGTCCATCTCTCAGCCTCCTGCTGGCCCCGCGGAACAGAGTGCGAAGGAAGCAGCTGCTAGAGACCGCCTCGGCTAGGACATGTGTGGGCCCCTTCAGCCGTGGTTGTCGCTGGTTAAGAGGGCGATTGAGGCCGCGACTATCCAGTAACCACCCAGCCATCTCCTAATTGGGAAGCTCGTCTGAACTGTGACGATGTCGACGGCCACGAGGGTGCAGACGCAAGTCGCAGCGGTCACGGCGCTGGTGCTGACAGAGACTCTGGTCATAGTGGCAACCACCACAGAAGGTCGATTGAGAACACAACCATCGCCACGCCCCTTGAACTCATCGCAAGATTTGGTGAGGTGGGGAGCCGAGTGCTCTAGCGGTACCATGTCTTTGAATACTGTAGCAGATCATCGCTTTCTCCTTCGCCGAATCTGTGCGCCATCCTTTTCCGGGTCTCAGAATTGGCATGAAATCCAGATCTGCTTTTTAAAAGCAATCCCATTATTTGGACGATTTTTGACTGAATTTTCGGGATTGTTCCTTGTTTTCTTCCGAAGCTGTGATGATTTTGTATCATTTTTTTTAAAGCCATTTCACTTGATTTTTGCCCGAATCATCCCAAGTTTCTACCGAAAAACTTGAGAGAAGCTCTCGATGAAAGCACCATTTCAGTATAGTGAGAATAGTTTCCCCGAATACAAAGGGTTGGTGGCCTATTTATAGATGTTACATGGGCTTGGCCCGATTTATCAACTAATACTAACACTAATGGGCCAGTAAACCGATAAGTAATTCGATAATCCTGAACCAGTATCTGCTAGTCGGACTGTGTTCTGAGCTTGGTCGGGCCAAAGCTCAGGTGTAACAGGTTGTTATCTCACTTCCTATCAATATCGCTTATATAATTAGGTATGTATTAATGTGTATATTTTTAATTGAAGAAATGTAACTAATAACTCTATGTATTAGTTTGTGTGCGTATATATGTGTGTGTGCGTGTATATTAGTTTCTATATTAGTGTGTGCACGATGTGAAATTTTAAACAGTTCTGAGTCCTTAATGAGTCGAACGAAATCAACGAGTCCGAATCCGGGTCCAGGTGAACGGAATAAAACATAGACCTGTACCCGCTAAAAACCACCGGGTTCGAGTCGGGTCCGGGTCTAGACCCGACCAATTGACATGTCACGTGAGATTTTTCACTGTGTAGTGCATGAGATTTTTGTGGTTCACAAATGCACTCCATTAAAATGGAACAATTCATTTAATGTGTTGGACTTTTGTGAGTCACAAAAATAGAGTGAGGTATAAAATGGGGTACAAAATGGGATACTTATAGCAAAGTTGATTAAAAATAGGAGATACCGGTACACTCTCTTTTAATCCAACCAGATTATGACATGTTGTCAATTTGTCATCTTAATATAAAAATACAATATTTTGCATTTAAGTCCTCCGAAAATAATCAGTTACTCCGTAATATTTTATAAAGATTTATCAGTTACTCACAATGTTAAATTAATTGTAAAACAACAAAAAAAATTATTGTTAATTTATAATAATTTATTGTTAAATTTTTCACACAAAAAAAATCACTTCACCTTCCTCTAGGAAACCATCACAAGGAAAATCGGCAAAGAAAATACAACAAATTTTTATTTTAGAATTAAGATTTGAATTTAATTGTTCAAAGTCGAATTTTTTTTATTAAGAATGTGTAACACTAACTAATTAAAATCACAGTTAATTAAAAATATTTTAAAATTAGCATTTTACGAATATGGGAAGATTCACGAATCTGTGTGTTAATTTAAAATTGAGTAAAATCGTGAAAATCACAGTTACTTTTTGTGTAACTGTGTCTAGACACGGGTTTAGGCACGGGGTTAGACACGGGTTGGGACACGGGGTTAGGCACGGGGTTAGACACGGGTTTAGACACGGGTTGAGACACGGGTTGGGACACGGTTTTAGACACGGGGTTAGACACGGGTTTAGGCACGGGTTTAGGCACGGGGTTAGACACGGGTTGGGACACGGGGTTAGGCACGGGGTTAGACACGGGTTTAGACACGGGTTGAGACACGGGTTGGGACACGGGGTTAGGCACGGGTTTAGACACGGGTTGAGACACGCGTTGAGACACGGGGTTAGGCACGGGTTTAGGCACGGGGTTAGGCACGGGTTGGGGCACGGGGTTAGACACGGGTTGGGGCACGGGTTGGGACACGGGTTTAGGCACGGGTTGGGACACGGGTTTAGGCACGGGTTGGGACACGGGTTGGGGCACGGGGTTAGACACGGGTTGGGGCACGGGGTTAGACACGGGTTGGGACACGGGTTTAGGCACGGGGTTAGACACGGGTT